TATAAAAATTAACATTATGTGACCACGTATTCACCACCAAATGATGCAATAAATATTTAACATCTAACATTATGTAATCACATATTCACCAGCACATGATGCCATATCTATTTAACATATCTATCATTATGGGATCACATTCACCATTACATGATGCTATAGTTACTTAACATATAAAATTATGTGATCACATATTTACTATCAAATGATACTGTAATTATATCTAAAATTATATAATCATATATTCACCATCACATGATGCCATATCTATTTAACACATCTAATATTATGTGATCACATATTGACCATCACATGATGCTATAGCTATTTAACATATCAACATTACATAGTCACATTTAACCTTACATCATATCACATTAAACATCAAACAATTGATGATATAGTTAACTCACTTTTTCTCCTTATTTTCTTGTAGGTTCAGGGCATGTTGTAGAGTGTTGGCAACATGGCGGACACACATATTGATGAGAGCGTTGAAAACTGGAAAACAATACACATTTACAAGAATCTTAAAAGGAAATTTGGTGCTTAGAAACAGGTAGTAAATAGGACTGGTATAATATTTTTTTCTACAGTGACTTTTAATTTCATAGATACTGTCGACAATAACATTTGACATGAAGATAAATGTTTTCTGTAATCTTAATATATGTACTGTATCATTAAGGGCCCAAATGATAAACCCATTTCGTACATGCTGCACCAGAGGATCTACCTACTGTATGCATATTGATGGTGATGAGGCCAAGCCAGGTGAAAAAGAACTCCTTCAATCTGGCCGTGCTAATGATAAGAGCATATGCACATGTGGACGAAAACCAATAAAATCGTTGACGTATGCGGTGACTTTGGCAAGTTTCTGGGTTTCTGCAGCAGAGAGACAACCTCAGCTATGAGGGAGCTTCTTGACGCCACGGTGATAATGTTGATCAGATCGAAAACCTAGGATTCGACATGCAGATGCTGCTCTTTTGCAAAGACGCGGACACCCACAGCCATACGCGGTAGTTTCAAGAGCGAGGGAGGCACATTACTTGATGGCAGCCTACCGGGAAAACGCAATCATGATGACATTCGAAGAGGCCAATCGAGCAGAAAGAATCATCAAGCGCAACAGAAATCAAACGTTTGTGACGTACCCTGCGGACCAGGAATTCTAACACAGCGGATGATCTCGTTGACCCTGCACCAGACGATCTACCTATGTTGTTGATGGTGATGGGACTAAGGCAGGGGAAAGAACACTTTCGATCTGGTCGTGCTGATGGTGATAGGATGTTACATGGCAACTAACACCAACACAATCGACATACGATTATGTTGGTAAATATAGTTACATGAAAATAATAAATATATAAAATTAAGTCAAAGGTCTGCATAGTAAATTATTTTAAATTTATTTGTGATCAGCTTACCTTCACTACCTTCAACTCTATATCTTGCAAATCCTCTCTTCTCCTTTTCTGAGCTGGTTTCCCTTACAGCCGCTTTGAAGGCACGAGTAACTTCATGGAATGCTTTAAGAGAGTAAGTTTCCTGCAAACAGACCAAAATTATGAACAGCTTTAGGCAAGATTAGGGGGTTGTCTCTCACTTCATTAACTTTTTTTTTTGGTTAGTTTATTGATTCTGATGCCTAAAATTAAGAATCTTATAAATCCAAGTCCATGGAGCATATTTACTGTGATCAAAACTTTTTTCTCAAAATAAAACCAAAAAGAAAATATTTAGAAAAAAAAAGAAAAAATGTTCAGTTCACAGCAAAGTTTGTACACTGGTCCATTGGCATAGCATGTAAGGTGTTGGACTTCCGATCAGGAGATTAGGGAGTTCAAGAAAGACGCTCATTGCACTGCTTGTGTCTTTGGGCAAGGCAAGTTACTTATTTGCCTTGACTCTCCATCCATGAGTATAAATGGGTACCAGGTAGGATGGTATGGCATTGAACGCATACATGGATATAGCAGCATGACTAGGGATACTCCCCAGGGAGCAGAGGAAGTTGCACAAAAATGTGCCGATTTGCCAACTCAGTATCCGGTAACCAGGGAATTTATAATGCCAGCAACCTTTATAATTTCCAGATTGTGACAGGCACTATATAACTTACGATTCTAAGAAAAAAATAAATACATCTTTGAGGCCATAATTGAAGAGACAATTGACTACATACCTTCAATGCCTGTGTCCATCTGCTTATCATACTGAGAGTGACTGGTTTGCCTCGGTTGCGATTTATCTTAGAAGACTTGCTTTCTTTTTCCAACTCCACTTCTTCATCACTATCCTCACTTGCTTCCTTTACGAAATATAAGTTATATGATATCAGGGGTTTAGCCAGAAAAACAAAATAGGCCGTCCAAATGGAAGCCAGTCCATCTTTGGGAATCCCTACTGAATATTGGTACGAAAACAACGTACATTCAATCAATAAATGTTGTTTTTATCAAACTTAAATTTGATTTACCTTTAGTTTAATGTAACTGTTGTAACATTCGATAGATTTGAAGAATATCAAAAATTTGCTAAACGTAGACCAGGCACAATTCGCTGGTTAAGCCTATGTATGGTATACATACAAATTCTTGCTCTTCGGTAGTAGGCTCCCAGCGGAAGCATGTGTCTACTGCTTGATGTAGTTTTCTTTTTGGCTACTTTTAACGCATAACCATACGAGTTGGCAATTCTCATGAATAACTGTACAAGTAACAAATTGTTGATTCTCTGTTCTTTCTAGGACAGGTCTAGACATGGCATCATAATTTTGAAAGACTGTTTCATGTTCCATAGTTACCGACCGTCTCGCATCGTGTGGGACGGTCCTGCATTTTAAAGTGATTTTGGATGAAACATGCATTTTGCAGAAACACATGCGTGACCATAAATTTGTCATGCATTTAGCACAAGTCTATGCGTGATATCGAATTATGAATTCAGTGGAAAATGTATATAAAATTAGAAGAAATCGGTTTCATTAAAAATATAAAAACGGTCATGCAGTAACTTGAGTCATTAAAGAGCTTTCGTTACCTTGTTCGAGAATCAATTCACAGACATTATTTCTCTTTCCCGTTCCCAAACAATGGCCAGCTTTCGCCATGTCGTTTCAACTTCTCCGAGAACCGAACAATTAGTGGCAGCACATATTTGCTGGGGAGGAGGGTGTGGTCTAGTTGGGGGCGTCACTGTCTATGAACTTAGCTCCCCCTCCAGCCAACTGGTTTAATCACTCACGCATTTGAAATCTCTCAGGTTGGTAACTATTCTGTTCTTTTCTATGTTTAGCTTATGACGCATCCCATTGCTCCTCTAACTAGATTTACTCTTAAAACTCACATGAAAGATGATAGCAAATCATTCTTTTAAAAATAATTGAAGACAAACAATAAACAAATAAATTAAACCTCTTACTTGTAAACTAGATGGTGGTTTATGAATAGGATCGTCTTCATCAGAGCTCATCTCGTTTGGGTCAAAGTTCAAAAGTTCTTCATCATTTTCCTGCAGAAACTGGTAAAATTCAGGATCAGATTTTTTTAACTTTTCCAAAGAGTTCTTGTGTTGATGCGCAACAGATTTTTTTCCACTAAGAATAAGAGAAAACAACAAATTACAGCACAGTAAAAACCATACACTAAAATTTGCCCTAAATAACAGTAAGAACTGTTATTTAGGGCAAAACATCACTCCTATGATATTCTCCTGACGCAAATTCATATCTTAACAAGCCACAATACAGTAGTTTTCCTGATAAAGTTGTCGAGATTACAGCAAAAGCTTTAACCCTCCAGCATAAAAAAATATTTATGGAATCAACGATCATACACAGCCTGCGTATTGTTAGATATTCAAGCACAGGGTGAAAAATAATGGAATCATCCGTCACACACAGCCTGTATATAAGTTCAGTAGACCTATGGCAATAGAAAAATAGTTTTAAAACAAAACGTTGCATGATCATAGGTTGGACTCACTTATATATTGTCTAATGATGTTTTATTTTTTACCTCTTCATCTTCTTTGTGGTTGATATTGCTTTCTCTTCAACAATGTTTTCTTCATCATCGCTGGAATCAATACCATTCTCTAGAAACTCATCAACGCTCATCTCTTCAAGTTTCCTTTTGAAAAATGTACAATACAATTTAAAATTTTGCATCCAAAATAATCCTTAGGCTATTCAATCAAATGTTGCTTCTATAGCGTTAAAAAAAAATTCACCACATAATAGGTGAAATTCAATAGCTTTTAATATAATATAAATTCCATTTTCTTTTACAGCTGAAAGTAATTGTCATTATCTTTCTTATCACCAAAATCGGGTATAGTATACTGTAGGCCGTAATTAACGTCTCGTTGAGCTAGGCTTAATTAAAAAGTAAAATATTGTTCCGAGATGCTGTTGTGCATTAAAATAGCAAAAATGAAGTTTATTTGAAGTCAAGCCAGCTCCACCATTGAACACCTCGACGGATCTATGCAAGGTATCGGCCGTTGAAAGCACGATATCATTTTCTGCCAGCAACTCGACCATCTGCACAGCCCTCTAATGTTTTGGCTGCAGAGGTCGTATATATTTTTTCCCTATGACCTGGAAATATTAATGACTTAGTTCACATTTTCCTCTTTGACCTTTGTCATCAGACCAATTTTTTACGACTTTGCGAAGTGAATTAATTTATTGCCAAAATTTTTTTAGAGACAATAAGTTTAATTTGTTCTGAAAAAGTTTATTTTGTTAGTTTATATATTCATCCACAACTGGGTGTAATATTTAGTTAATTTGAACACCGAAACCTAGAATTTGAAAATTTTAAATGTGTTGTGAATGAAAAACCCACAAATCTATCTGTGTGGTGATGGCTGACACCATGCATGTCTGGTATTGCTGCAATCACATATCGCGGCACACATGTACACAGTCATGATTTTATGTTTTGTTTTGTTAATTGAATCCAAGTTTATATTGCTCTGAAACCAGTTTAACTGTCTTAATTGATATATTTATTCATATCTAGTTTTGGTATTATGTTGATTGGAGCACCAAAATCTTGTATTTGAGTTTTTTTGTTTACCATAATGTCTTTATACATTGAGGTAGGCCTATGACTATGTCTATACAAAATGGTAATTAGTTACTTGTAATTAATTAAATTATTATTTAATAAATGATTGAATTTTAATGAGTTTCACAATTCTTATTTGTACTTGCTATATGCTTTCAAATGCTTTTTTATTGAAATATGACTAAAAACCAAGAAGTTAAAGCAGTTTTTGATCACAAACATAAGGTCACATACTTTTACAGTATTACTTGCATTGGTTTGAAGGACCAAAATTACAGTAGGCATAATTATTAACTTCTTTTAAATTCTGAATCTCTGTTGATATTTGAGGGAGGACAATGATCTTGGTATCAATGTAATGCTACTAATGCTCTTCAAATGGTACTAGGCCTAGCTGCAAAGGAATTCCCTGCATTTCAAATTTTATGACACGTACCTACGCAAGTTTGTCAAAAAAATATTCACAATACAGCCTATGTACTGTAATAAATAGGGCAGTCTAGTAGCAGTACTGTAAGTAGGTTTACAGTAGCTACAGTAGGCAAGCGAAGAATCTATGTTGTGCACAATTTGAGACACTTGCACAATTTGCAAACTGTGCAAGGATTTCTCTGCACAATTTGAAAACTGTGCAAGATTCTGCAGATTGCAAACTGTGCAAGGAGATTGTTACAGTTTTAAAATGCATGGACAATTAGCAAACTGTGCAAGGGTAGCTCATTTTAATCTATATGCACATTTTGTTATTGATTACTGTGGACCTAATTTTTTTTTTCTCTTTATGGTGTGACGTTCAATAAAAACGTTAGAACATGTAAGCCAGATATGCATGGCCATGGATCGTGTGTGGTTGGATGGGGAAAGATGGTGTGCCAGCAGTGACTTCCAGTGAGGTGGACCGGGTTGTGGGGGAGCAGCAGTCTGATTTTTTAACTTGTGTATTTTTCATATAAATACATCGTAGACCAGTTTATAGCATAATGTGACTTTCTAAGGGCCTACTTTACTTGTAAATGTCAACTTAACAATGGACAATTCATATGGTATTTAATAATAAGAAATATTTGTATAGTACAGTATTACTCTTGTTGCAAAAAATGATATTTACAGTAACTCTTGTTATGTGTACGTACATAGAAACGCAAATGAGAAGTTGATAGATGATTTTTATTTCATAAAAAGAAAAACCAGGTTCAGGAATCTTATCCTGTTAATTGTAAAGTGTTATAAAAATAAAGTACTATATATTTGCCTACATACTTTGTCTTGCGAGATATTTCGTTAGTTGCCATTCAATAAAAGCCTGAAGATTGGTTTCAATGACTCCTTAGGTAACACGCCTAGCCTAGGCCCTAGTTAGGAGGCATACTGTAGGCTAACTGAACAGTTCACTGCACACCTTAACACAGTAAATGAGTCAAAACGGGACCCATTTTTCTTACAAAATCGACTATATAATTTAAATGGTTTCATTTGGCAATCTGGGGCGATCGGATTATAAAACTAGATGTTTTAAGCCTTATACTGTAATCATCTACACTGTATATTATTCTTACAATTAATGCAAAATTGAGAGATCATTTTTCTTTTGAAGTTGACAACATATTAAGCTTTTGCATAGGAAAAAAGTTAAAATTAGAGTGTTTTTTTGTATACTTCCTGCTTCTTCTTAACATAACTCTGCAATGATAGGTCGCTAAACTTTGGGGTGAACGGTCAAGTGTAGTTCATAAATTGAGCTTTATGGCCATGTAACCAGTAATCATTTTGTCTTTAAAATTTTGTATTCAGAACCGTTTTTACCCTGTCTATGATAGGCTAAGTACAGTATGAATGACGTCACACACTTTAAGCCAATAACAGCTATGAATTTCAAGTTTTCTGCGGTTAGTACGTCCATGCATAAGATGTAGATCAAATTTGTCGAAAAGTAGGGGAAAAGTTTTCATTATGCTAGGCCTATTCATCATAATTTTTTTTAGTATTGGTGTATCTTTAATAAATTCAATAATTACCGACAGTGAGTGTGTCCCACATACAACATGGATGGCCTATTTTTTATCATTGCAAATTTTCCGATCGATTAAAACATCGGAATTCCCGTATATCTCCCAAAATGTTGAAACACAATCTAACACATAATTATAATAAGTTAAATGTCACATTCTAAAATAAGGAACAAAACTGTCTCTTATACACATCTAGATGTGTATAAGAGACAGTATTTACTGTGATCAAAACTTTTTTCTCAAAATAAAACCAAAAAGAAAATATTTAGAAAAAAAAAGAAAAAATGTTCAGTTCACAGCAAAGTTTGTACACTGGTCCATTGGCATAGCATGTAAGGTGTTGGACTTCCGATCAGGAGATTAGGGAGTTCAAGAAAGACGCTCATTGCACTGCTTGTGTCTTTGGGCAAGGCAAGTTACTTATTTGCCTTGACTCTCCATCCATGAGTATAAATGGGTACCAGGTAGGATGGTATGGCATTGAATGTACGGGTCGCGTGCGTACAAGCAGCAATGACCAGGGATA